CTCCTACTCCTACTCCTACTCCTACTCCTACTCCTACTCCTACTCCTACTCCTACTCCTACTCCTACTCCTTCTCCTCCTGCTACTACTACTACTACTACTACTACTACTACTACTCCTGCTGCTGCTCGTGCTCGTGCTCGTGCTCCTGCTCCCGCTCCCGCTCCCGCTCCCGCTCCCGCTCCTGCTACTGCTGCTGCTACTGCTACCGCTACGACGATGGCTGCTACAGCAGCTACTGCTGCTGCTACTCCTACTGCTGCTACTGCTGCTATGGCTCCTGTTGGTACTACTACGACTACCACTGCTACTGCCGGTCTTGCTACCCCTTCTACCACTGCTGCGGCAAGACGGTCGTGTCGTCGTAAGCAGAACAACAGTAGAGGTTCGAGTCTCCAGCCTTCAGGACAGTCATGTATGTCGCTTTTGGGAGACCCTTGTAGTTTCCTCCAGGCCTGGTGTCCAACTCGGAGCTGCGATACGAGGGCATCCTCTACACCATCAATACCCAGGAAAGGGAGGGAGGTGGCGCTAAGTGGAGCGGGCCTAGAACTGATTTTCCCTCTGTACTTTGTTAAGCTTCTGGTTCTTCTGATGTCTGGATTGTCCGTTGCGCAGATGAGGGCCATGCTTTGTGATGGACATCAGTCTTCTCGGGTCACTTTGTGAGAAATGGTGATATTGAGACGAAAGGGTGTCACGTTAGTGGTACACATGTTAAGCATGCTTTTTCTGCTGCTGTGAAACAGCAGTAAAGGCATGCTAACACCATTTTAGTAGGACGAAGGGCAGAACAGTCGGCACAGCATGAACTGCGCGCAAACAACATCAGCTCGAAGTAACGTTAGCAGAAGCAGTAGCAGGATGAGAATACGGTCTTTGCTAGTAGAGCAGCAATGCAGCATTAACATGAAGTCTCGTTGCTATGTGGCCGCGAAAGCAGGGACTCAGGATGCGTGGTTCCTTGGATTCAGGAGTCCTGTTTACATGTTGAAGCGTTCGGTCCGGTGCACGGAATGTCACAAACCTGACTACGGTCCGAGGCCGTAGTGGCTCTACGGCTTTATGAATCTGGTAGTGATATCCCTCGAAGGGCTTAGAAGCTCTTCGAAGCCATGATGCGCAAATCAGCGCTCTTCTGCCTGCCGCTCTGCGCACTGGTTGCGGACTCTGTGAATTTGCGGCACTCTTCCAGAATAGACACCCGCAGCAAACTCGTGTTAGATTTTCCCTTCTACCACACCTCCGACCAGATCCAAAAGGAAGCAAGGGAGCTCGTCGCGGGCTGTTCTGCCAAGGCAGCTGTCAAGACAGTGACGAGGGGGAATGTGTCAATAGATTATGTTCGCGTTTCGGGGCCCGGTCCGAGGTCAAGACCGAACCGGGTAGCCTTTCTCTTCGGGGAGCATAGCCGTGAGCTCATTGGCCCCGAAAGCGGCTTGAAGTTTCTGAAGATGCTTTGCGGGCCCAGCTCCAAGTCAGATCTGGTGAAAAAGGCCCTGGACACAAGCGACTTCCAGCTGATTCTCAATGCCAATCCGATCTCGCGGGCACGGGTCGAGCAGGGGGACTACTGTCTTCGGGACAACCCACGGGGTGTCGACCTGAATCGAAACTGGGATGAGAAGTGGGAGCTCGGGGACCAGGCCATGGAAGGAGATCAGTATCATGGAGAGAAGCCCTTCAGCGAAGTGGAGACCCAGATGGTGAGAGATCTCGTTACAGAGTTCAAGCCCACCACCTTCCTATCTGTACACAGTGGCACGCTGCTTGGCAGCTTTCATTGGTCGCAAGCACCTTAGCTCTTGCAGGCTGCGAGCAACAGCGAGCACGACACTAACAAGAAAAACACTTGAGAATAGACCGGAGCAGCTTTGCTAAAGTGCTACAGCATATGGACACTGACTGTAGCATGCTGTGGTTATCCGGTCTCCGCGTAGGAAGTACTCAGTTCCAATGAGCCCGCTTCTCCTTGCTAATACGTCAACCCCTAGCCCCTATAAGCCCGATAAGTCCAACCATACCAGTGTCCCCTGCCCCCCCGTATCGTCAAACTGCAAGTCCCCAACGAGATCCAGGTTAGGTCTGTACATGCCGTGGGCTTACGACAGCGTGCACATGGCGCACCGCAACCGCGACTTGATGCTGTCTGTGCTGAAGGACAGACTGATGCCTCTAATGCTTGCTGAAGATGGGCCATGCAGTAGGAGGCTTGACCCACCAGAGGTTGTTCTTTGATGACACGCTTTTCTGTACGGCTAGGCTGTTTGAGCACGGCTGAAAGTGAGGCCGCAGCGGACCCGACCGCTTTCTATTCACAGTTATTTGACGTTACGCAGAGCCTAAGCTTCCTGCAGGAAGTGGACGAAGACTACTGCCAGTGCCCTTTCGGCGCAGCTGGCAAAGAAGTGGGCTCCTGGGACCGAGTGCTACTTGCAATCATGCAACTGATTTCACGGCTTCTTCCAGCAACCGAGCCCTTCGCAAACCCACCCCCCACGCCAAGGATACAACTGTCCGGGGACGAGCTTTGACTGGGTGTACGACAACTTGAAGGCCAGCCGAAATCCTCCGATCCGGGAAGCCATGAGCTAGGATTCCAGACGGGGGTCCGGATCACAATTTCTGCCGGGAAAGTTGTGGAGTCTCTGGTGGACTGGAGTCATCTTTGTCTGCTTGGGCAGGCACCCTTCTCCTTCGCCTGGGAGATCTACGCTCGTCCTGCAGAGTATCAGGTAGCTGGGCACCCTTTATCCGGATCCACAGGGGGCCTGTCCTTCCACCTGGTCCCTTCCCTCACCTAGCATCCCATCTTAGGCTTCCCCTGCTGAATCTCCAGGCTAGCTAGGACAGCTAGGACGTGAATCACTGTCGCATTCCGGTGAGGTGTCTTGTATGTTGGACAGATGTGTGGAATGTTCTCAAGTAATCAGGTTCTAGCAGCTAGCATGCTACTTGAGTAGTCGCCTTGTGGGCCCGGTACAGACAGATCAGGCACTGAAATCTCGGTGGCAGGATGCTTGGCCGGGACATAAGCGAGTTGGGAAATCTTTCGAGCTCCAGATGAAAGAACTTCTCTGCTGGCTCAGAGTTTGCTTGCTTTGAAGATTCGGGGGTACTGTATATCCCATCCAGGTCACGTCGATTAGCGAGTGAAGCTTCGGTACCATGTTATGGGTATCATGTGATGGACGCTGGACATGGAGAGTGGTTCAGTGCTGTGTGCTTTCGAGCTGACCGAAAGTCAAAGCTCGAAAGCGAGAAGCCACGTCCTTGTCCACGGAGCTGAGGAGAAGCTGAAAGAGTCGCCGTCCCTGCTACAAGGCCAGGCACGGGAGTTGTGCAGAGCAAAGAGCTGCTGATGATAATGATGGTTATGATGATCATCATCGTCTTGCAGCCGGGTCCCGAAGGGCTTTCGCCGAGGTGAGGCGGGCATGTCACTGTTGGAGCTCTATTCCGGCCACTTCTCAGACTTTGCTGGGCAGAGCCAGAGCCAGCCACCTGGCAGACTGATCTTATGCCGTCCTCTGCTGGGCTCTTCTCACCGGAGTCTCAGAGCTTTGAAGCGCAGCTGAGGTTACTTGCTTCATCCGAGTCCCAGGACTCTTGTCCGGAATGCCTGAGTGCATTTTCAACATTGAGAGACAAACAGCACTTCTGTTGACGGCCCCGCTTAGTCAGCCTTACGCGCATGCTGCCTACTGACGTAAGGCGTGCTTCGACACGTTCAATCCTGGCTCAGAGCAGGAGTACAACGAGCCCCTTGAAATGCAAAGGCAGTTGAAGCAGAGAGCCAGATGTTTAGGGACGGACTGAGCCATGTTTGGAAAACCTGCCGGGACCCACACTCCAGAGGTCTCCCGAGCTCACCTTGCTGGAGCTGTAGATACGTCGGGCAATTAACTAGTTAGGTCAAACTCCAGTACCACCTCACAGCTTGCATGACCACTGTCCTTCAATGCCAACAAAGCACGCATAGGCTTCACCAGGAGTTCGATCAGGGACTCGGACGCCACATCGAACACTGCCACCGAGGTCAGTCACGAACTGGGCGACATCCTACCTCAAGCTGGCCGTGCTGACAGCTCCACACGTGGCCTTGTTGTCCAAATCCGTGGCTGATTCTGATTGAAATGCTCAGATATAGAGCGACTTGGGCTTCTCGAAAATTCGAGTTCCCTTTCCGTAGAGGCCCTCCTTCTGTGAAGCGCTGAAGGCAATGGCCTGACCAAGTCATGTCAAAATTGAGGACCAAAGTCAGAAGCCGCCCTTAGCCGGGAGAGCGTCGCAGTGCTTTCGAAACTAGTGCCCGGAATCATAGCCGCGGGTCTACAGGTACTGTCATCTCTGCTTGAAGCTTCTTCTGGCAGTTTTGACGAGTCTACACCCGCTTCTCCATGATTGCAGGAGTCCACCATAGCACTGCAGTCCGTCAGATGCTTCGGCACGGAGGGTAGGCCGGCTTTGGGATGCGGGGTTTTGCTAAGAGCCGGAGGGAGGGCTGAGGAGTGCGGATGCGGAGTAATACATATAGTATAGGGCTTCGTGCTGGAGTCCAGACCTTCGACCGGCGATGCCGCATGTCCGATTCGCGATACGTGCTGCAGAGAGCGGGCCTGTCGGTAAGTTAGCAAGTCCGCCCTGCCGTTTGCAATGTGCCGCTTCCGAAAGGCTATAGACTCGGTACAATCTCTGGCTATGTAGCTCTCACAGTTCTCAGATGACCTGCGTTGCCCACTCCCTGACAAGTCACGCCAGCCCTTGCTCGAACCAGGAAGTTGCCGGAGATTCCTCCCTCCAGTGAGGCCGTTCTGATGGAAGTTCCATGCCAATGCCGTCTCACACATATAATATACTACGTCTCATATACTATAATATACTATAATATACTATTTGGAAGATTTCCGCTGCATTTTTTGCATTAACAAATGGTACAGATACAGCCCAGCTACACGTACGGAGGTAACACAACGAACTAGGAGGCAACACAACGAACGTGGGACGTCATGTTCCAAAAGTATCTTAGAGTGAGAAAGCCATTATCATGAACACCGTTCTAGACTGAGCCCAGCTTTGCAACAGATGCATTAGGCACTTCCTTTCAGCAACTGAGCCACTTGCACATACACTGACATAGCGGAAGACAGGTCATTCGCTGGACTTAACCAAAAGTGCCTCGGACAGGTGTATGACTTCATCATCTTTCGGGGTCAAGACATCAAGGACTTGACAGTGCTTGAATCCGGGAAGCAGCCGGGTGCTGCGGCTTTGCAGCAAAAGGTGATGTGTCTAGAAGTTCTGTCGAAGTTAATGACGGGGGTTGACCACCCCATCGAAATGTGAATAAGCTGCGAAGCCTTGATCGTATGTCGCTGAGGCCACCGATCCGGCGATCGTGTCCATTAACCAAAGACCATCAGGCAAATCGGGGTGCAGCACTTCGTGCCAGAAGCATCTTGACGTAGCAGTGGACGCCACGCGCCCCTGAAACAACCCCAATTGCCACCAACATTCCAACAATCCGAGTGAGGGTGGTGGCCTAGGCCCATCAGCATGTGATATCTTGCGCACCGTCGCCCATGCTTGAACCAGATCTGGTTCTCCTAAAATTCTCGCTTGTGCGTGTATCGTGCAGTCTGCGCGCAGGGAAAGACGGCAAGGGCGGCAAGGGAGAGATCCCGTTCGGAGGCGAAGTCCGAAGTGTCTGCCGGTTGGATCTTTGTACGGCGCATGCAGCATAGATGCGTAAACCTAAATGAGTATACTACATGCATGCATCTATGTAGCAAGCGAGCAAGGAAGCAATCAATGCCGATGTTTGTTCCTACGGATCTGCCTGACCTGACGAGGCCCTGCCATGTCAGGAAAAGCCACGTATGGGTGCGCCGCCTGTGGGGTCCAGATGTGTGCATCGGCCGGACCAGCCAGACTAGACAACCCTAGAACTTCACAGCAACTCTGCATTCTGCATGTTCCCTGCATGCGCAGGACGTCAAGGGTGTTTGTATGCTTGACGGCACGGTTTGCTTCAGACCTGAAGGGTTTACTTGTGCGTTCGCTTGCTGGAGAGAGCAAATCCTCAAGATCGGGCTCAATCTGTTCCAGCGCTTCGGGAAACAGATGGACGTGGCCCAGGCGACCACAGATGATGCCGAAGGGGGTGGCGTGCTGGATCCATTTTCTGACGCGGAAAATGCGGTAGAAGCCGTGTTGGAGCAGATCTTGCAAGAAGGAGGGGTCCTGCTGTACCAAAGCTACATTCATCGGAAGTCCTTCGGGTTTGCCGCGGATGCCTTGTGCGAGATTCTCAAGGGTGAAATGCAGCTGCGATTCGTCCGACACGATATAGGCGAGTTGCAGTCAGCCGGGGCAGATCCTTCCACACCGTCTGCAGCCCAAGAGAGCTTAAGACCGAAGAGCACAGAGGGCATGTCCAGGTCGAGAGGCACTCTTGAGGTGGCTCCGAGACCCGGATCTGCGTCGGCTTCATGGACAAGTGGATTAGATGATGCAGATGCTCGCAGGGGAGACGGATGGTCTTTGGAGACAGAGCCAGCCAGATGTCGAATTGACACCTGGGCGCGTGCTTGTGTGCCAATTCGGAAAGTTGGCCGCAAAGCTGAGGAGTCAAGAAAAGGCCGGGGGTCCGTCTGGCGGATGGGATCGCGTGCGTCGATTGGATCTGTCTCTGGTCCTGGAAGCAGGCCTACATCCAGATTTGGCCCGCAGTCTCTTGCAGAGGAGGTAGAGACGCCAAAGACCCCGACAGTAAGAAGCCAGCTCATCCCACTGGTGGACGATCGCGAAGAAGACGAGGAGGAAGCCATGCTCCGAGACATGAAGGAGCGAGAAGCCAGGAAGCTGCGAGACGAGCAAGTTCGGACAGAGAGGAAGGCGGCAGAGATAGAAGAAGCTATCAAGCTCGCCCAGATGAAGGATGACAAGAAGCAGTTCACGCATGATTCTGAGGGCAATGTGATTTGGGTGCAGCCGCCACAAGTCCACAGATTGCCCAACCCGAACCCGGCCCCCTCATTCGTATGCAAGCAGGATGAAGTCTCTCAACAAGATCAGAGAGCACAGCCAGAGAAGCGGGGCCGAGCACGGGACAAGAATGCGAAAAGCAAACAGGACAACTCTGTCGAATTCCAGGATGGCTTCAGGAAGTTTCAGTCGCAGCAACCTCCCATGATGGAGGTGATGGTGATGTCTCCTGGTGTGGAGCTGGAAGAGAGACATCGAACGAAGAAAGGGGAGAAGATCAAAAGCAGTAAGCCGAAGACAATGTCCCGGAAAGAGTACGAGGAAATATCTAAAGGAGGAGCAGCACCGCCGCGTCAAGAAGGCGCAGCCAAGGTTGCACCGAAACCTCAAGCTCTGAAGGGCAGCGCCGGGGGAGTAACTGCCCTTCCCACAGTCGACGAGGCACCGTCGCAGCCGGTAGAGCCGAGCAACAAGCGTGGAAGCCAAGCTGTGACTGGCGAGTCGAAAGTGGTGCGGTCGGAAGTGGGTTCCGATTTGGTCAAAGGCCCAAGTTTGGATGCCGCTCGGCCGCTGCAGCCGGCGCCACCATCTACTCGGCGTGTGCAGACGAAGCGGGATGCCTTGGGATTTTCTCTGGGAACTCGGGAGCGTCTCCACATCAATGCCGGATCCCGCTTTCCTGGCTGCGCTGCCCAGCCACCTTTGGGTGCCACCATGGGCCATGGACTGGCTCCAAGCATGCAGAAGCATCAGGAATATTTCTTTCCCGGTGCTTCGGGCTCAATCGATGTGGCAGGAGCAATCATCGAAGAGTCCGACCAGGCTCTTCCGGAGACGGCTGATGGCCAAATCGTCAGCAAGAATCCTCAACTGATTCAGCGGCTCTTCGGGAGTCGTTAGATCGAAGCTTCAGCTCCTAAAGTTAATGTACAAAGTTAGTCTTAGTTTCTGTGGCTGCAGTGGCGGCCATGAGAGCTGCGAGCGCGCGCAGCCTGTGTCTGAACATGTACAGATCCGAGGAGTAGGAGAAGGGTTGCTAGGTAACCGCAATGCGGAGCAAAAGTCTCGGCACCTTGCTCGCTGGTAAGAGCTTCCGAAGGCTGAGGCGGAAGAAAAAGAAGCTTCAACACGATCCTTGTGTTCATGAAAGAATCTACTTCAAGACTCGGATTTGCCTACCAGTCATCCTCATCTTCACCCTTCTCATCATCATTGTTGTGAGCATGGTCACCATCATCCGTCGACTTCGCGGTGGTTGCCAGCGTCGAGGTGGAACTTCGAGCCGTACAGTAGTTGCAGTATGTTGTATCATAGTCATTGTCTCGTAGTCACCAATAGTATGTTCAAGCTGATTAAGAAAGGCATGCCAGCTGCCAGGAAGGGTGTGTCCACGGGCTTCAGCCCTGCGGCAGACTCCTGTCCCGCCCGACACGTTTTGTGGACGTTCCTTTATGCTACCTCTGCGGGTCTATCAGCACCAACCTGGTTGATGTGTTGCACTGGCTTAGCCATCCAGCCTAGGGCCTAGGGTGGTGCCGCCGAACGGTTTCGGGGTAGCAGCCAGTATCCTTCCGGTTGCATGCTGACCAGGGTCTTTCCGCTTCTACGGCCGTCTGCCTTGCCAGGGAGCAAAGGTGGCGGCGCCGCGATATCGGCAGCGCTTGGCATGGGCACAGGACCGCACCCCTTGAACCCTGCACAGCCTGAAAATCAGAGTTTGGGGAGTTTGAGGGATTCATGTGCAAAAGGCGGGTGCCACAGCTACTTGCCTGTGTTTCTCCCGAGTCACGACGTCTCGCCGCTGGCTTCTTTCTGGTTCTACCTCCAACCCTTCCTATCCTTCAGGCCCTTTCAGGAACCTGCCACATAAAACTACGATTGATTGGCCCCTTCCATCAAACTAATGCTCTTTTTTCTGCTGCTTTTCATCCTTTCTCTGCATGTCTGGATGCCCGTAGGTACGTAGGCAGGCAGGCAGGCAGGTAGGTCGGTAGGTAGGTAAGATGCTTTTTGCTTCGAGTCTGCCTTGGCAGTCTCAGCCGTGACGAGATGACATCAAGTCAGTCAGACTTGACCCGGTGAGGAAGCGGTGGTAGTCGTGGCTGGGAGCAGCCCCGAAAGGGCGAGGCCGCAGCGAGGGGAGGAGGGCGAAAGGTTGAAGAAGCTCAGTGGTGTTTTTGTTGTTTGTATGGGTTGAGAAGTCGGACATACGTTTCTTATCTTCTTGGCAATGTATGCTGAAATGGGTTGGGACAGCAGCACGGTCCGTGTTCTTCTGTTCTCGAGTACCGCTGAGGACTTCAAGAGCCATCGATAGCAGTGGAATGGCCTGACTCTCGCAACGAGACGTTTAGCTCCCCGGAAGGCTTGGGACAATGCATGGAGCACGCAGGCCTCGACTGGGGAACGGGATTCAGCAAAGCTCATCAACACGCTTTTTGTCTATTGTGGCTGGCCCGGTGGCCCCGTGAAAATTCTTGGCTGCGCCCGCACATGGTTTCCTTGATTCAAGCGTTGGCTATCAAGTGCCCGCAGTCGCGCATGGCGGGGGATCTGTTGCGCCGAACCCAACCGTGCCGTCGGTGGATCTGCTGTTGTGCATCAGTGCGGCAAGTACATGCGTGCAGACGGCCACCAGCCAAAAAGACAGAATGCCTGAACGCTTCCTTCAATACAACGACTCGTGTGTGCGACACCGAAAGATGCGAATTGAAGGTTACTTGACCTGAACAGGCTTTCGGTTCGCCGACCCCAGCAGTTGCGTGTTGTCCCTGTGAAGTGTCTGCCGCCGCAGGCTCCCGCTCCGCGCGAGTCTGCCTGGAGCACTGGCAAAGGCCTGTGCAGCCTCTTGCAGTCTGCGCCTGTTTGAAGCACTTCCCAGTCTTCAATCCTGACTCTCCGTGCTTTCCTGAGAGCCTGGGCTGCAGGTCAGGGCTTCGGCCACAGCCAACACGGTGGAAAGAGCGGAGGCAGCGCTGCAGAGCAAGAAGCCACACAACTACAGGTCTAAGATGGTCTGAGTCTTGCCGTAACGCCTGTAGCCGGAACACCGCCCTCGGTGCCATGTTACCAGTCCGTTTTCAGCAATCAGGGCCACGTCTTTCAGGAAGCTTGCCAGGCTGTGTAGATAGCCATCGCATTGAACACATCCAGCCGGATCGAAGGCATTCTTCCAAAAGGCTGGATTATCCTAAATTCCAAGTTCCCGAGGTTATGGTCATGGTGGCGGCGGCGGATATGGCGGTGGTGGTGGTGGCAGCTACAGCAGCTCCTACCAGGGCGGCGGCTATGGCTATGGCCATCAGAGCAGCGGCTACGGCCATAGCCCGGCTCTTGGTCGCTTTGAGGTCTTTCTCTCGTTTCCTTGTCTGGGAATTTCCAAGCTTCAGAGCGTCTCTGAGATCCGGGTTAGTAACATAGTACTGGGAGCAGTATAGTATTATGTTATTATGGGGCAAAGGGGACAGGGCCGGATAGGGTGAAGGGGCCAGGCGTGGATTGTGAGTAGTGCACCATGGCGTGACGTGCACTGGTCCTGGGTCGGTCGGCTTGCCTCCCTCTGCTTCCAGCTCAGGCGGTGGTGGTGGCTATGGCCACGGCGGAGGCTATGGGGGTGGCTTTGGCGGCAACAACGGAGGCCAGTCAGCTTTGCAGCCGAGAATGGTTATTGATACCCAAAGTAGCGTGATGTCTTAGGTTGTACAAACATAACAGATGGCAACTCAAACTCAAGCAGCCTGGTTGCAAAGCCTGCTGTTTTTGCTTGGTTGACTCTGACTCTTGTGGTTCAAGACATGGAACCGTGCCTGCAAGTGGAGGCTATCAGAAGGGCGATGGCAAAGGTGGAAAGGCCAGCTACACGGGGTTTTGTTTTGCGCAAGGGCGCTGGGATGTGTCTTCCCATCTTTCCGGGCACCCGGGAAGATCCAGGAATGCGCCGGCTTGCAGCATCCTGATCATTGCCCCTTTCTGCTGTCTTGCTGCAGGCCAAAGGAAAGTTCGAGCGGGACAGAGGGCACGGCAAGGGTGGAAAGGCCAGCTCTTCCGGATATTCCTGCTGACGCTAGCATTCGCAGGGCTCGCCCAAAGATACAGCCTAGGCTCGTTGATCACAAGAGCACCAGCACTAGCAAACCGAACCACTAGCACCGCCCTTAGCGGCACGACAACTAGCACCACCGACGACGACGAGAAATTCAGCATGAGCGACACCACCAGTCATACACCGCGTACGGGTTCACTAGTACTCAGTGTAAGCATGCCTGGTGGTAATGGTGATGATGATGAGGGCCAGGATGAGATGATGCTGCTGCTGATGATGAATGACGACGATGATTGTGGTGATGTTTTATGGTGAGGATCATGATGTCATGATGATGTTGTTCATGGTGATGATGATGATGACGATGATGATGGTTAGGACGATGGCGAAGGCTGCGACATGGCGATGGTCGGTGGTGATATCGATGAAGCTGGTGATGGTGGCGGTGGAAAGGAAGATGATGACAGGATGCTGCTGGTGACGAGATGATGTTAATGTGGATTGTCAAGAGCATGTGGGTGATCATCATCATGTTGAATTCCTCGCTTACGAAGGTCGACAGACTTGCTTGGAACTTTGAGCGCCTAGATTTTGGCGGCAGGGCTAATTTGAGTCTTTCCATCTGTTCTCCTGGCTTTCAGCCTGCCTGCATCACATTCTCTCTCTCTCTCTCTCTCTTTCTTTCTCTCTTTCTTTCTTTCTTTCTTAATTACTTTCTTTCTTTATTTCTTTCTTTCTTTCTTTCTTTCTTTCTTTCTTTCTTTCTTTCTTTCTCTCTCTCTCTTTCTTTTTTTCTCTCTCTCTCTCTCTCCTTCTCTCTCTCTCTCTGTCTCTCCCTCTCTCTCTCTCTCTCCGCGTCTTGCTTTCTCAGAAGCGCAGAGGAAAGCATTCTGGCTACATGATTAAGGTGTAGCAGCAACGCAACTGCAAACATAATGTCTGCGAATCTTGATGCTTAATCCATGAAGGCGATAGCTCCACATCTTACCGCATATCCAGCTGCCAACATCTCCAAAACTGTCTTGCAGGGAAAGTTTGGAAAGGACAGCAAAGGCAAGAAGTGGCTCGCTTGGGGCGTGTCGTTTTCGGGTGTTGTAGACTGTAGCTCGGTGATTGTGGTGGTCCCAGAGTTGTCACTCTCTGTGTTCGCTATCATGACTGCTTTCTTCACTGCCCGCAGAGGTTTGAAGATGACAGCACTTTGAGGTCTGAGTTCGACGAGTTCGGCTGCGTCAGATTATGATGGTCCTAATCGATTTCTGCACGCTGTGCCTGATCCCCTCCACTTTCTCCCTGCTTGAGCTCGCCAGGATACGGCGCCAAGGGCGGAAAGGCAGGATCCCGCCTATGGGAGTAAATCAATGGTTCTAGCTGCCCTTGTCATTGCCATCGTTCTCTGTCGTGATCAGCAGCACCACTATCGTGTCTGCCAGCAGTAATGCCATTTCTACGACTTTGCTTTTTCAGTGTAGCTATTGCTGTTGTTGGCGGCGGTTCATCGTCGTGCCCTTTGGTTCTGTGGTGCGTTTCTCTGCAAGCTGGCCAATGTGAACTCGCGACTTCCGCACGCAGCCTCGTGTTGCGGGTGTGCCCCAGAATCGAGGGGAATGGTGAATTCGATGCAGGTCTTTGAGGATGGCGGGTGTGATAGAAGAGTTGACGAGTTCATGGCCCTTTCGGTGATCTGGTCCGACAGGGTGGCGGCACCCGACACGATGGTACGCCCGCCTCGCCCTGAGGACCACCTGTGCTCCCAGAGAACCGAGTCTTGAAAGAAGCTTCAGCTTTTGGCGGTCTAGGTTCCAGATCATGGGATCATCCTTGCAAGAATCTAGATTGTAGATCATGTGCTTGCTCTAGTTAAAGTCAGCAAACCATCCGAAGAACCAAAGCCAACAACCCGAAGGCCCATGCACGCCCACGAAGCTCGAGCTGGGCCAAACACCCAAAGAAGGGACCCTGGAAGTTTTCTGAAAGCCGAGGTCGGCGAGCTTGTGCCCGAAGAGAATGCGGCCACGAAGCGCGAGTGCGCCGGGGTGCGGGGCTTGAGATGTCAAAAGTCCACCGGAGATTTTCACTTCCTGCGGAGAGAGGAGATGTGTCGCTTCCAAACTCTGACCCCTAAACCCAAAACCACGCACACCGAGGATTTCGACCTCGATGCTGCCAACAAGCGCTTCGAGAAGCTGGAAATTGAAAAGGACGACACACCAGCAGGCCGCGAGACGGCTGTCTTGACAGTTTTCAGGTTCGGTTCAGGGTTTGCAGGGAGACCGATTTTTCGACCGCTGATCATTGCTCCAGCTTAAGTCTGGGGCCCCACAAGTGGTAGAACTACATCAGAGCTTAGAATTTCAGCCGAGCAGGTGAGACGACAGCAGATCTCCATCCCCTCACAGGCTCTGACGCTCTTAAAAGTGTAAAGGGCTGTAGGGTTGTTGTCAGGGCCTAGGGCTTCGACATGTGCCTTGGGAATGCGAGTTTTTCTATTGCTTTACTGGTCGCAACACTCGCATGCGGCGAATTTGGGTGATGGGTTGGCTAGGCCGCTAGAGTCTGCTAGATACCCCAGCTACATTTCCAGCTTCGCAGTCTGGAGGCTACGACAAAGCGAAGTCCTTCTTCGACCAAATTAGCTGCGAGGCGAGGAGTGGAAGAGTGGAACTTCCGAGCTCGCCGGTACTGAGATTCATTGGTCTCGGGTGCAATGACTCTGCTTGCAAGCTCCGAATCAGCACACATCCCGTGAGGCCACGGAGCGCGCAGGAACCTCGGAGAGACAGAAGGCCATCTTTCGTGATCTTCCCCTTTCATGCGAAGGGTGCTGCTCGTTGCTGCATCTCGACATGTGCAGCTCTGTTTCGGATCCGTGCGCAGATCGACCGCGAGAAGGCCCGCGAGTTCGATCGAGAGACTTTTGGCGACACGTGCCAGATCTCAGCGATCAACTGTACGCATGTCGATGCAGGTCACATCAGGCAGATGTAGGGATCATATATTCACGTAAGACCTAGTACTGCTAGTAGTAGTAGTAGTAGTAGTAGTAGTAGTAGTAGTAGTAGTAGCACTAGCAGTAGCAGTAGTAGTAGTAGTAGTAGTAGTAGTAGTAGAAGAAGAAGTCGTCGTAGTCGTAGTGGTAGGGGTAGCGGTAGGGGTTGGGTCATGGCAGTGGCAGTTGTTGTGGTAGTGGTAGTGGTGGTCGTGGTGGTAGTAGTCGTGGTCGTCTTAGAGGTAGCGGCAGTGGTAGTGGTGGTAGTTGTAATAGCAGCAGCAGCAAGAGCAGCAGGATGAGCAATAGCTTCTGCTGCTCTTGCTGTTGCTGCTGACGATGTCTGTGGGTAACATGACTGTTGCTGTTGCTGACCGTCGTTGGGTCGAGGATGACGTCAGCCATGGCCGCAGTGGTCAATCAGTTGTCTTGGGGATGGTGATGGGCAGGGTTGATGATGAGGATGTTGCCGCTGGAGGCTGCGTCGATTCTGATGGTGTGCGCTCTTTGCGTTGATGATGGTGTTCTCTGTGGCAACGCCTGAAACTCTGAGGCGCCGGCCTCCTCGGCCGACCGGCGGCAAGGGCCGACGGCGTCACGGCTGAGGTTTGGGAGGCCGTGTGTTCGGGATCTACAGAGTTTCGGTCTTTGGGTTTCGGTCATTGGGCTTCAGGCATGCATGAGTACATAATTATTTGTATGCGCACGACAGCAAAGTCATGCAGAGTCGGTTTAACGATTGCACAGATTGAGGCTGTTCCTTAGCTTGCTCTCCCACTATAGAGCTACTACCTCATCAGCAACTCTCGCATCGTGTCAAAGTCTTTGGTCATGACCAGGGCTGCACAGCGTTAGCTCTGAAGCTTTTGGGCAGGGTCTGCTCCACGCGGAGATTTGGCTGGCACAGACCACTGCGGCCTGGATAGCCCTTAACATTAAAGGGGCCTTGTGGCACCCCGAAACACTGGAGTCCACCGGAGGAGGTTGGATAATTCCGAGGAAGGCTTCTTTTAATTAGTGCTGCTGGGGTTGGGTTTCGTGGGAAAGCGCAAGGCCCCCAAAGTGTCCGGCCATGCCCTCAAGTTGACACAGGTGATGCACAAAAGTCACATGGAGAGGCATCAGTAATCCAGGAACTCGACCTCCAGGGGCTGAACTAGTCAACGAAGTTGTCACATGGAGGTGCGGGCCGACTTTAGTGCCTGTCAGCACCAGTTGCTGAAACCGCATGCCACACGTTTCGCGGCTTCGAGTTTTGGAACGCTCCTGCGGCGCTCGAGTGGCAGCAGCCTTCGGATTCGTCGGTTGTCATAGCACCGTATCATTTCACTGCAGACCATTCGAGTGCCAGTTCTGCGCAGGAAATAATATCTGTCTTGCATTGCAGAAGACTGCAGCATGTTCCCGGTGCTCTGAACTACCCGGCATCCCACCTGAGACCCACTGTATCACGAAAGAGACACCAATCACTGGCCCGGCGTTTCATGAGGAGCACTGCAGGACGTACTTCACCAGCAGTAGCACCGAGGGGAGCCACGAAACCAAACAGGAAGCTGACCGCAGCTGGCGCAAGCCCCCGTTCTTCCCGAGAACAGGGTTGAGATTCAGGCAGACATGCGTGGTATTGTGCTCCAGGCTGTGAGATTCCAGGCTGATCAGAGCAGCCTTTTGTCGTCAATGGAGGGTGCGGCCTCTACTCCCTGAAGTTTTCATAAGGCACTGAGCAGCACCACAGGGACGTCCCTGGACTTGAAAGGAACCTGTGCATCTTAGCCCCCGAAAGTCTCAACACCACACACCTCCCGGCAGTGGCCAGCACTGTTTCATGGCTTCCCCCGCGACGGGGTTGGCTTCCAGATGGCATTCTTTAATCGTGCCAACAAAAGCCTCGAGTCGCTATGCCGACCGTGTTTGAAAAAACGTGGTTCCAGCAGTCCTGCATGGGCTGAGGATTGAGGGTAGCCAGTTTACGTGGAAGACTTGGGTTCCAGGCTGCATCCTGCGCTGTCTTGCGTTGCATGAAACATGCAGGGGCTTACAATTCGAGCAGTTGCGGTCACCAACCTGCTTTGACGACGAGTTACATGAAGTCAGTTTGTCTTGGCCATTGCCCACAAGAATAAGATATTGCAAGAAACTAAGAATAGTAGCATCAATACAACGATGATGATGATCACGACCATGGCCATGATGCTGATGCTCCCGCCTTTTCGTCTGCAAAGCGACTACCGTACTTCAGCTTTTGTTTGCATTTGTTTGCAAGCATGATGTCATAACATGCTTCGTAGCTAGTTTTGGAAACGGTTTTACATATATACTAGTCATTAGTGCTACCAAGTGCCTGTGTTGTAAAGACGGTTGTCCTCAGCATCATTGTATGATTGTCAGTTCGTCTTCACGCTTACTGATGCAATCATGATAGCTGCAGCTGGGATCTGATCAAGATGCGAGACACAAGACAGCCACATAAAAGATATCATCAACGAAACTGAACCTGCCTCTAAGACTCATCTTCTCCATAGTAGGGCAACAGCCACCTCGCAGCAGAAGCTGAACCCTGCGAGGAGAGGCGGATGCGGCAAACGGCTGACCCCGGCCACCGGCAGGCTCTCCTTCGGTTTGGGATCAGGAGCCGGCGTGCAGGGTGTCCGGGGTTCAATTCGAAGTCCATACTTGCATGGGGGATTGGGGCTTGCGCATTTGAGGCGTATGGGTTAATGGAATGTTGGGGGTTTGGCTTCGTAGGTTCCTTTGTGAATTTTTCACGCCTTGATCCTTTGGCTTCTCAACATACGGGCTCTAAATCCCAGCGCGGCTTTGGGCTATCGATCCCATCTCGAGACCAAACCGACCAAACCCCTACACCCTGAAAAGCTGGAAAAGGGGTGCAGGGTTCAGGGCGATCCAAATCCTGGACCAAACTGACAGACAGGGCAGGTGGAAGAGGTCGTTTGAACAAAAAGGCTGAAGCTTTGCGCGACATCCTGAAATTTTTAAAGCTTGAGCTCCACCTGCCCATCCAGGCCGAGGAAGATGTGACTCCAGTGACCTTTGAGGCGTTTCGAATCGTTGGGTCGGGCTTTTGGGGCAGGAATGTTCAGTTACTTAGGGTTTAGGGTTTAGGGTACATCACATGAGACAGGCATCGGTGGGTCTCACACGTAAATAGGCCTGCGGAACTGATAGTGTGCTGAGAAGTCCTGAGAATCCAGCAGCCCTACGATCAAAGACACGAGGGTGTTGGGACGCTGCTGGACGGCTTGCAACCCTGCAACCTCGCATGAGAGACAGCTTGACCGTCAGGAGCCGCTGACATGCCGTGAGCCCGTGGCGGTGGCAGAGGTCTGTTTGGGGGCTTACCTGCACCTCATGTTTCGAAGCTCCTGATGTAGTTTCAGCACTTCGGAAGCACGTATGCTCTTCACCGGAAGCTTTGTATTAGATTCGAGCTAGACGGACCCCTAGACACTCCAGAAGCATGAGCCCCGAAGCCCTAAACCTCGATGGGAAAAGATCGCCGGCTCTGCAGAGGCCAAAGAGCCGATTGCAGCTGCGAAGGACCTCGGCATCCTTGCTTTGAGGTTTAGGCTTAGGGATTGGGGTCCTGGAGTTGGGTAGTAGTCGCAGTAGTCTTCGTAGCAGTAGTGGTAGTAGCAGTAGTAGTAGTAGCAGTAGTAGTAGTAGTAGTAGTAGTAGTAGTAGTAGCAGCAGTCGTAGTAATAGCAGTCGTAGTAGTAGCAGTCGTAGTAGTAGTAGTAGTAGTAGTAGTAGTAGTAATAGTAGTAGCAGTAGTACTAGTAGTAGTAGTAGTAGTAGTAGTAGTAGCAGTAGTAGTAGTAGTGGTAGTAGTAGTAGTAGTAGTA